CTGTGGACTGTGCTCCGCAAAAAAAAAATAAAAAATAAAAAATAAAATAAAACATAATAATAAAATCATTACAAAATAATGAATATTACTAAATTAACAACAAAAAAGAAAGAAAAAAAGAGGAAAGGTAAAATAAAAAGAATAATAATAAATATAATACAACTAAAACATAAGTTCAAATGAGACCAAGAATCATAATGAATTCAATGCAAGAATAAAAAGATGAGACTGTAACTTAGATTTAAAATCATATACAGAAGATGTGGATCTCACAGGGGAAGACTGTTCCATAACCTGGGACCGGCCACCACGGTCACCTTTCAACTTCAATCTTGATCTTGGATATGACAGAGTAATACTGTCTGAGGATCGCAAACATCTAGCTGACCTATTCACATTTACAAGATCTGACAAACAAGAAGGTGCCAGACCATTTAAGGACTTAAAAACAAACAGCAAAATTTTAAATTCAATTCTATAACGCACTGGCAACCAGTTAAGAGACATTAAAATCGGAGTAATGTGTTCTCGTTTACGAACCCCTGTTAAAAATCTGGCTGAGCCATTTTGCACCATTTGAAGCCGTGACATGGAGGATTGGGGTAGTCCAATATACAAGGAGTTACAATAGTCCAAACGTGATAAAACAAGAGCATGTGTGACTCTTTCAAGATCTTTAAAAGATAGAAAACATCTAACTTTTGACAGAAGTTTAAGATGGAAAAAAAACATGACTTAACTACTGAGTTAATATGTTGGTCAAACTTAAGGGAGGAATCAAAAAGAACTCCCAAATTTTTCACCATTGGTTTGGTATAAGATTTTAAATGACCACAGTTCAAATTTGGTTTTCCTTTACCCACAGAGGGTACAAAGACAATTGCTTCCGTCTTTCCCTCATTTAAATGCAAAAAAAATGTAGACATCCAAGATCTTACATCAGCTAAGCATGCAAGCAATGTTTCTAAACCATTCTTGCCACTGTGTTTTAAAGGTAAATAGATTTGGGTGTCATCAGCATAAAAATGAAAGGACACTCTATGCTTCCTAAAAATTGAACCTAGTGGAAGCATGTACAGTGAAAACAAGATGGGAGCCAAAATAGAGCCTTGAGGAACACCAGAGGTAAGAGGAGCTACAGATAAAACAGCGTGACCAATACCTACTGAAAAAAGTTATGTTACTAAGATAAGATCTGAACCAGCTCAGGGCACTTCCTTGGATGCCCACACACTTTTCAAGGCACAATAAAAGAATGCCATGATCAACTGTATCGAATGCTGCACTCAAATCTAAAAGCACTAAAATTACTGCGTTCCCAGAGTCAACAAGTAGCAAAATGTCATTTAATACTCTTAAAAGAGCAGACTCAGTACTATGATTTTTCCTAAATCCAGACTGGAATTTTTCAAGAGTATTATTTGTTTCCAAAAAACTATCTCTAAAATGTTAGTAATAAAAGCTACATTTGGGATTGGCCTAAAATGCAATAAAACAGTTGTATCCAGATTAGGTTTTTTCAAGAGAGGTTTCACCATTGCATGTTTACAATAAGCTGGAACAAACCCATAAAGAAGGCTCTTAAACAAATACAAACTTTATTACTGTGTTCTCTGAATTTTTAGGGGGTATTACTCCTAAATTTGATAGAATTTTAATTGTTGGGGACTTTAATATTCATGTTTGTTGCGACTCCACAGTATTAGCCAAATAATTTATATTTACCGTGCTCTTACCGAATGAATTTCTCATTCGGTAAGAGCACATTTATTCAAAACTACTTAAGCTCCAAAGCTACTAAAATCAGTAAAGTATGATGAAATAAGGGTTGATGATCTTCATGAAAAATTATCGATTAATTGCCCATTTAAATAAATTTAATTTAATATATACCGATAAATGCATCTTTCATACTGATGACCTAATCAGAGTTTAGTTGTTTTCTATTTAAATTATTTAAATCTATTTAAAAAGAGATATTTCAAGTTTTTGTATAGATATGTTTCTCATGTCTGTGAGTCAAGCAGCCTATACACTGAGTTTCTCCACGCTTGAGTTTTGTGATGGTTATCTGTATGAGCAAAAATGACAGCATATTTTGTTTCGCCTCCATGTCATGCGGTAAGAGCACAAACAGCTTCCACACTCCACACAAACACTTGGAGCTGCACCTAATAGAGCACATTTATCTAGGTAACGTTAGAGCAAACAGCCGTGTAAAGTCACTACTACTTAAATGTTTCAATGATAACATATAAGCCATATTTAAGGACGATGAATGATGGCGAACGTTTGGATTTCCTGCCGGATATGCTGTAACTACTGCAAGGAGCATTCGTTAACGATCCGCCTGTCACAGACACGACATTTTTTTATTTTTTTTTTCTGCGACTAACCGACTATTATGGGGGCAGCCCTAGAAAATATAAATAGCCTATCAAAGGCTCAAGGCTCACCACGTCTGACCTGATCACAGAAAAAAAAAAAAAAAAAAAAAAAAAAACTCAACACCAGCATCTATACCAAGTGGAAACAGGAACATCAGATGAATAAGTAATTTCCATCCATCATAAACTGACTCCCTCTTCCATCTGACGCTTTGATTTCCTATCACGGACAGCAAATCGTTCAGGCAGAACCAAACTGAGGTCACAAACAATGGTAACCCTCAATACCGCATTCTGTCCATCTCTCTGTACTTTGCTAAATACGTTTACATGCACCAATTAGCATCAATCCAAATGAATTCAATCCGATTTCACATTCTGAAAGTTCTAAACCCTAAACTGCAATCCGATTCACACTGAGCTGTTTACATGTTGGCTTTTCAATCCAATTGAGCCATCAATCCTGCTCTTGAAAGGCCAATGGCCTTCAGACTTTAGCTCCAACCAGCTCCAACACACTTGCCTGGAATTTTCCAGTAGTCCTGTAGACCTTGATTAGATGGTTTAGGTGTGTTAAACTAGGATTAGAGCTAAACTTTGCAGGATAGTGGCTCTCCAGGAGCAGGAACATAATCTCCTGATCTATAGAGCTGACTGACATAAAGTCAGAATGACTGACTGGTGTTTTTTGTTGAAGATAGACTGCAGCCAACCTCATCCCTACCAAAGAGAATAAATCTTTCAAGAACATCAAATGAAAGAACAACATCACTGCCATGATCAGGAAAGCCAGACAAGAGAAAGTTCTTTCTGAGGCAACTGAAAATGCTCCATCATCCTGCTTCAGTTTACAGGTCTATCATAGACAGCCTCATTCATCACAGGCTGGTTTTCTTCTGCCTCCTGCTCCAGGACCAGCGTACAGCGGCCGATCTGCTCTGCTGGAATGATCAGCGGCTGTCACCTGCCATCACCCTGAGAGGCTCAAAAAGGCCTTACGAGATCACCTTGGACTCATCACATCCTTGGCATTATCTCTTCACCTGACTCTCCAATGCAGATGATGGAAGTCTATGTGCACAAGGACCTCCTGTCACCAAGACAGCTTCTTCCCTGAAGCCCTTTACGTCACCTTTAAATTATGTCAGGTCAGGGCAAACCAAGATAGCCTTATTTCCTTGTTTCACTGACTGTATAACCATGGAGATCCATCATACTGTACATTACCTGTAATTATAGTCGGCAGGAATCAAATGAGCATTTATGAATGAATGCACATGTGGATTTCTGAAAGTTTTTACATTTGCGGTCGGAATTGACTGAGAGATCTTAATATCAGGTGTAAACAGGGATCTAGATTAATTACCCCTTGTGATAAAAAAAGAGAACAGTTTAGCATACTTTAGCAAAGAGTACTTATTTGGGAAATATTTATTTATTTATTTATTTGCAAGTTAACTGAAATTCAAAGAAAAAGTATTAAGCTTATAGTTTAAATGTATGTTAAATGCAATAAGCAAGTGAAATTTAGCAAGTTTTTTTTTTTTTGACCCAGTCAAGTAGAATATCTTTATATGTAATTTCATTATTACTAGTACTGACAAGCATTAATAAAACTAAAATATCAACTAAAATATAGTTTAATGTTATTTCTATTGAAATGTGTATAGATGTATAACACATTTGTAATGAAGTTAAAAAAGTGTACCTACATGCAAGTGTGTTAAGAATCATAGTCATGAAAGTTTCTCTATTTAAGTACACTTAAGTGACCTTTTATTTCATTAACAGCATATTATAGATCTGCAAGTTTATATGTATATATACATATATACATATATATATATATA